TATATAAAAAAAGACACACAAGGAAGACATACATCTATCTATAAAACATATACATTTTAAATTGCACGGCTGAGCCTTGAGATTGTTCCTTCCTGCACTACATACTACCTGACACTGGGTGGCGCAATGACACACAGCTTTTTTTCTTCTTTTTTTGTGTGTGTGTGTGTGTGCCAAAATCAATCCCACAATCCCTACACACCGGCGGTGTATTCATTTGAATGATAAAAACTGTGAAACGCTAGCGAACCTGCACACAGAGGAGTTGCTCTTGAGTTTGAACCAGTTTTTTTTCCTCTTTCCTTCACGTTTTGGATTTACACACCTGAAGGAGAGACCTCGTCGCACTTCACGAAAATGAATCGGTTGGTATTTAACTTTAGTACTGAAACGGTGAGGGTAATCTCTGGACTGCCATTTGTGAAGACATGTTCCCTGAGTCGGAAGGCTAACCAGCTAGCTAGGCCCAGATAGTTACTCTCTGCGTCTCCGTGTATCTTTGATAGTTGAGCTACGAGCTAACAGTCAAAGCTAGGCTAGGAACATGAGCTAACTTTTAGCTTTAAGGGACGTAACGAAATGCGGCGTTGCTCTCCTCCACACGTTGACTGGCTCATTTGTAGCAAGACAGAAAACATTTACCTTAACTTTAATCAGCGTGTAGTGTCATTTGTGACTTAGCCCACCTAGCTAACGTTAATACTTGTATCGCAGCAGCCAACGCCTTTTAACTCCCCAATGTAGCGTTTTTGTTTTATCTCATTTAAATGTTATTTTGTTGTTGTTGCTTTTAATCTGTTTGAATAAAACCCTTGCATCTTATACCACACGCTGTTGTACGTTAATAGCAAGCCAACCTGTAAGCTAGGCCACAAAAAGTGACTGACTCTTGCAACTTCTCAAACTGTGATGGATCTGCTAACGACCGTCTGCAATTGTTTGTTCAACAGTGTCCCTTATTGTGGCAGCTGGTTAGCATGTCAACCAGAATAAACCCAATGGCTTTCTGCGACCCTGCCTGCCTCTTTCTGCGGAAAAGAACATGAAGCAGGTATGGAGATGTGAAAGCAAATGCAGTGTCTTATTGTGTAAATAATTCCTGTTGTCTCTTAAATCCTGGTGACTGTGAAGTACAGTTCAGTGGTGTTGTAGTGGTAGAGAATGTAGTAGTGGCCTCATCCCTTATCCTTTTGTTTTAGGTGGATATTATAAATAAGGAAGAATTAGATAAAGAAAGGTGAGTCCCTGATCCACATCTGTGGGATTCATCTAAATATGATCACTCACTCACTGTCGGTGTCCCACAGATCATCCCTCTCAGTCACTGGAACATTAAGGCACCTTTCCATAGCCATTATCACCATGTCTGTGGCTTTGAATTGTATGGTTTTTCCTCACTAAGACAGCTTTGTACCCGATCCATGCTGACTTTTGCTCTTGGCAGATTTCAAGTTCACTACGGAGTACACAGCCCAGGCAAAGCAAAGCGATTGTCATCCGTCAAGAGGAAGGGTTGTCCAGTGGTGGAGGTGGGCTTGAAGCTGCACCGCAAAACATCAGATGTAGGCCGTGACCGTGACCGCGGCATGGCCAACAAAGAAAATGAGCTGACGTGCTCCGATGATGTGCGGGGCATGCACTATAATGACAACTGCGGGCTCCCAGTGAACTCTGCAGAAGCCTCCAAGATGGCAGGGGCCAGCTCCAAGTACAGCGACTTTACTGAGGTGAGAGGCGGAGTTCAAACCACTGCTCTCTCGTGATTAAAAACTCTTCTCTTTTAGGATGATAACATTTGCCACACTGTTGCGGACTTCATTTCCTTTGTGCATTGTTTGTCTTTACATACAGCTATCAAAGGACCATGAAGCTATGACTCACGTCCTTTTCGGAAGGAATCTGCGACTGAAAGTAGCTCAAACACTATGGCGAAGAAACGCCAGTGAATTAGTGGCCTACCTAATAAGGTAAAACGGTGACGGCTAAGACTGCATTTTAGTAGGTTGTGTCCATTCCTTAATTCCATAACATGATTCAGCTTTAATCATTTTTGCTTTCCCAGAATTCAAGACACGGGGGTGCTGCTTGACTGCTTACCTGTCTTAACAAACGAGTGAGTGTCTTCTTTTGCATATTGCTTTTTAATAATTCGGCTTCACCTGTAATGACTGGACTGCACAGTACTGCAAACTGTATTAAACAAGATCATGTAGCATCATTACAGCAGAAAGAAATGCTTTTTATTGAATATTCCATTTTTTTTTAATGAATCTGTAAAATGTTAGAAAGTACTGAAGAATGCACACAGCATGGTTTTTCAGAGCAACGTCTTCAAAGTTCTTCTTTTGGCCGACTAACTGTTGAAAAATGTTGCTAAATGTATACAATTTACAACAATATGAAACAGAACAAAAGCAGCATCTCCTCACTTTTTAGAAGCTGAAACCACAATAATCTGAAATAATGTGTGTGTTAAGTTATAATCTACAGGATTGATTTTCAATCTGACAGCTCATGGTGATGTTTAATATTAGTGGGTTTCTATGTACTGACTATCATCTAGTGACCATCAGAGAGAATGTGAGACTAAAGTCAACAATGAAGACTGTTTGAGCCATCTTTTCTTTTCTAGATCAGCTCAGTTTATTTCTTTTGTCTTGTGTTCTCTTGTTTCAGCATTCAAACTGAAGCACCATGTTTGTCACTTGGCTGCTGCGTTGACCTCATGCCCCAAGTGAAAGTGATTCTTGCCAGTAAATATGAAGAGTGAGTGTCACATCTACATTTATATACAGAAAATTTTCATCTTTGACTTTGTGATTTGACAAACTCGTCTGCTTTAACTTCTGTTCACAGACACATAACGGTGGGTTTACACTGGGTTCAATCCGTCATCAGGAAATGGTGGCCAGAACTTTCTAAGAATGAGAAGAGACTGCGGGACAGTCGTTCAGAAGACAGGTGGGCAGCACATGCTTGAATACAACCTAATAGACCTTTTTCACAGCAGCCATTGTGACATAAAACAGTAGGGTAATCACAGGTGTTACCAATGATACTAATTAAGGCTCTGTTCCATTTAATGTATCAGAACCTTTACAGTGAGCCAACGTGCATAACAGCAGCACCCTGACTCTGCTTGACCTGAATGGAAATTAACCTTAATTAGTATCATTGGTAACACCCGTTTACCCGACTGTTTCATGTCAAAATGACTGCTGTGAAAAAGCTCTATGGTCAGTAGGCTTGGTGAAAAGATGGTGCAGGTTAACAATAAACAGAACATTTGCTTTTAAAGCTTTGTTCTGAAATAGCACTGACCTCCAGATATGATACTATATTGATTTATTAAGAAGCAAATTCAATGTGTTTTGTTTTTTTGTTTTTATTTGGTCATTTAACTTTTACTAATACTAATATTACTTACATTTCACTATGCCAAATTGAGCGTACATGGCAGGAATTTTAATTGAGTCTGTTGGCAGGTAAAGCAATATGTTGACTCCTTTACTTTCTCCTAAGCATTAACCTCTGGATGGGGTATGTGGGGTGTGTAAGCTTGTGTTTCTGCAATACATGAATGCCAGAACAGTGTTTACAATCAGCTCTTGTCACATTGCTATATCTTTTTAACTAGGACAACTAATAATGGCACTAAATTTCTGCCAGTTTAGTTTCATCGTCCAGGTTTTCTGTCTCATAATTTGACCCATGTGCAGTTGCCTTTAAACATACGAGGGGTTTCAGTCACTTTCAGCAGAATGTAACCCTTTTTGAACATTGAAAAAGCTGATATCATAGTGGTGTAACAATTGTCACGAATGTTGACTCATACAGTAAGTAATACGATATTCATTAACTAAACATGAGTCTTACAGGTTTTTCTAGTTGGAGCTGGTTTACTGCTGATGAGTTTACCGTGTTGTTTTGAGTTTCTAAACATAAATATTTTCAAGAAGTTTTATGAAAAGATGCTCATACACATTGCTGACTACAGCTCTGAACTTACGTAGTAAGTGGGGGGTTCTTACTCGGCACGGGAGAGGAAGTGTGTTGGGGTTTTACAGTCACCGACTGTGGGGTCCTGTGTGCATTCCCCACATATTGAAATGGTAATATTAGTATGTTTATTGCAGGAATATTGAAGTCATGAAGCAGCGGCTGAAGGACTTGTGGAAGGAAGGAGCCCGGTTATGTGTGGTTCCAGGATCTACGGGAGAACTGGCAAAGGTAAGAAGGTTATTATAGAACTTATTAGGGATTTGTTTCATGACACAGTAGCTGTAGAAATGTCAGGACTGGGACAGTAAAGGAAAATGTTGAAAATGTAATTTAACAATCCTTGAAAATATGAATTATGGTATTTAAATGTCCTGTTTCTAGCTGCGTTACTTAATTTAAGGCTTCATGACATGAAAAAGTGCTTGTTGTATTTTTAACTAAAGCACACCATGTTTCTTCCTGTTATGGACAAAACTAAATTAAATAATAGAGTTGATTAAACACCCCATTGTGCCACAAACATACATACAGGTGCTCCTTCTGTTTTTTTTTCCACCCCTCTGTTGGTTATGGGTGGACGCTGCAAACCACTCCCATCCTAAAAAAAAAACCCTCCACGTCCGCTGTAAGCATACTAGGATTTGTAGTATTTATAATGCGAGTCTGTATTTGGGTTGTGGTTCATGGTGAAAAAGCATCAAACCATGAGTAAACTATTTCATGAGATGTCTTAAACGGAAAACCATCTACTGCGAACATCTCCTTTTTCAGTCAGTATTTTCCAAAGTAATCCAGTATGTTGTGATGTGTATAATGGGGAAAAACAGGGAAATTTAAGAGCAGAAATGTGTGTTTTGAAGTGTGATTTATTTATTGTGTTGATAATTTGTGAAAACAAAGATCATTCTAATGTATGCAGGCTGTGACGACAACTAATGTGCTATCTCCACTTCTTGTTACAGGCCATCGGGGGTTATCTATCACAGCTGCCCTGACAGTTGTCAATGTAGCACTCTGAGGATGTGACCACTACTGCCAGATCATGGCTGTGTTTTGAACTGATAATGACGCCAGAGAAATGGACTGGTTCGTTCTGCGACTTCAACTCAAACCTCTTACTGGGACTGAACTTGACAATTCAGACAACTCCCTCGGTTAGAGCTGGAGACTCTCTTGAGGAGGGCTGTGAGAGCCTTTCTGCAAAAAAAACCCACAGCATATGACTGCTTCACATTGAAGTGGACCGTCTTGTGAAGGGGCATGTTTAGTGGACCTCCATGAGACTGGGTGTAACGTCGCTCTATGAAGTGCCAAGCTCTTTGTCTCTCAATACACCACTCATTGCCATTGAATGCACTTGTGGATGTAATTAATGCTCAGCTGTTTTGATGTTTTGCGCCTGGATCCACCGGAAACAGGAACTTGAATCTGCTACAGTCTTAAGTTATTAGAGCTTTTCTTGTTTTTATTTTGCCTCTTCATATGACATTTGACTGTGTAATGTAAAATGTAAAAACAAGTGATTCTTTTAATCTTCTTTTAAATAAATTTGCTAAAAATCAAAAAAAATTGTTTTTATAATTTTTGTTTTTGTTAAAAGTACAATAAGAATGAATGTTATGAGTGAAATGGTTATGACATAACAAATACATTCAAGTAAACATGGATAATTGCTGCTGTTAAGTGATCTTGCTTAATCCAAAGTGGGCAAACAAGTAATTCAACTTTTCTGTTTTGTAGTTTGTGTCCTTTTGTTTGTCAAAACTTTATTAGTAAAAATACGTTTCCATTTTCTCTTGATCGGAACAAAAGTTTAAATCACTAAAGAAAATAGGGCAAGAACAATAAGAGACAAAATAATTAAATTATATATTATTTTCAAAAAATGCTTTTGTAAAAACTGAATTGAGTATCCCATTATCAAATATGTCGTATTGAAGAAAATATTGGGTTATATAAAAAAACAAATATACAGAATTTGTGAATTAAAAAAATCCAGCTAAAATCACCAACATTTACAATAAAATGTTCCTGTGGTGATAACATTAAAAATATAGTACGGCACCTATAATGGACATCTTTAAACAGCATTTATACTGTTAATTCCTACAAAAAGTAAACCGGACACCAACCGGAGTGTGATTGTCGGTTTGTACAATAAAGTTTTTATTTTTTTTTGTTGTTTTTTGTGACGTCATTTTCCGCAGAGCCAGCTGATGTTCCGACTCTTCCGCTCCTTCTCCGAGCTGCTCTTCAATACATGTTGACGCCGTTTAGCCAGAGTTTGTGTTAATTTGTTGAACATACACAGACAGACATGTTGCACAGGGAGAGAGTACCGCTGCTGTGGCTCTGTATGCAGGCCGTGCTCGTCGTGGCGCGGGGTTTCACTGATGTGGAAACGGGGCCTGGCGCCGGAGTATCGACACAGCCCAACGGAGATCGGTTCAAAATCGAGGGAAGAGCGATAGTCCCGGGGGTTAAAACACAAGACTGGGTGTCCACGGCAAGAATCCTAGTGGAAGGCGAAGAGTACGTGGGGTTTGTAAGGTAAGAAAACCCGCGGTTGTACCCGCTTGCTGCCCTGTTAGCGAGGCTAGGTAGCATTAGCATAGCGAGCTAGCTTTAACGACGACCTGCAGCAGGGAGCCGCACGGCAGCTGCAGTCGGCAGATGGCAGGTCCTAACTCATTTACAGCTTAATAATGGTGGTTGTAACTCGTGCCAACCAGGACAGCAACAGGGTTATTGCATTACCTGTGACTGAATTCAGTTGTTAATGTCTTTATGAACTCAAACAGGCCTTTCGGTGGCTGTAACCAAAACAAACATTGGACCACAAGACAGACAGACAGACAGACACTTTATAGCTGGTAGGACTTTTGAATCAAAGGCTTGCGACAGAGCATCAATAGCAGTCGCTTTCTATTAGTACTGTACAATTATAGTTTTGATATATGATATACATTTGTCATTGGATTAGACGGGTTTTCCCTTCAAGGGTTACAGTGATTTATTTGTGTGTATGTGCCAACGCGTTTTATAATTTAGGTGTTCTAGTACAGTGGTTCCCAACCTTTTCCCTTAAGATATGTGTTATAGATAATTCATATTCTATTCAATACAGAACAGCTGATTAACTGTGTAATGAACACAATAACTGCAGGAAGTTTGTGTGAAACAAGATGAATTTTGAGCAGATTATTTCCTGTTAATATTGATCAGAGATGAGTTTTCCTGATATTTTTATGAACTTTTTATACAATTCTTTGTATTATGTCTTTTAGTTTTAACAATCATACATTCTTAATAGCCTTTTTTTTTTTTTTTTTTTTTTTTTTTTATACATATTCATTGTTTTCTTCTCTCTGACGCTTGGTCATTTTTGTATTACCTCTTCACTTGTTTTAACTTTTCTAAGGCAGGATGAGGCTGTTTGTGAGTGAAGGCTCTGTGAATATAGCTTGGTGCATTGGTGCATTAAATGTAGATGTTCCTCTTGAGTTACTTGATAGTGATTTTAAGGACATGGCTGGTTAACCTAGATAAAACGCACTCAGTTACTAGTTTAGTATGTACACTTAACGCACTTGTATTGTGTTTTACTGAGAGGAGTTTCTAATACCTCATTGATATACATGCGCTAGACAAAAGACTCATTTCACCTCTACAAACGACAGTCTCCAAAATTTTCTTAAAGTTGAATCAACACCTCTGAAAAGTCCAGTTGTTTTCACCTTCTCTTACAGAACTGATGGAAGTTTTGCTGTGAATGACGTCCCCTCAGGATCCTACGTTGTGGAAGTCGTCACCCCCAACTACAGATTTGAACCAGTACGTGTTGATATCACATCCAAGGGCAAAATGAGGTAAGACTTTACTATAGTGAGCTTTGTGTACTCTCAAGCGTACATTTTAGAGGCAGCTTTAACCCACTAAAGTAACCATGTGTCATTCCACAGGGCGCGTCTTGTGAACTATATCAAGACTTCAGAAGTAATTCGCCAGCCATATCCTCTGCAAATCCGGGCTAGTGGCCCACACACCTACTTCATGAAGAGAGAAACCTGGGGCTGGACAGACTTCCTCATGAACCCAATGGTAAAGAAAATCGATGATGTTTCACCCAACTTGCAGAATATTGAATGATATAAACCCTCGGGGGTGTAGAAAACTGTCCAACAGGTCAAATTGAGGTCAATTTAAATGTATTGTCTTTGTTGCTCCTCCAGGTTATGATGATGGTTCTGCCCCTGCTGATCATTGTTCTACTGCCCAAGGTGGTCAACACCAATGACCCAGAGATGAGAAAGGTAAAGAATCCTCCCCTGAAAGTGTTATTTCAGAAATATCGTACGTGCTTTGCGTTAATCATGCAGCGTGTCTCTGAATTGTATTGGCTACATTCTGATCAGTTTAATAAGGATTTATTAATTGGTGCTAGACTACATATTTCTTGAAAGAACCGAGTTTGCAGTGTCAGCAGTAATGCTAGTAATAAATTCACGATACCCTGTGTGAGCATATCATAACTGTGAGAAATGTCAGTGAAATCATTTTTGTGAAGGATTATTAAAATCATTTCCAGAGTCTGTCCCCAGCCTTCATGTCTCCATCTACATCTGTTTTCATTTCTTTGTTTGTTTGGTTTTTTTTTACAGGAAATGGAGCAGTCCATGAACATGCTGAACCCCAACCCTGAGCTTCCAGACGTCTCTGAGCTCATGACCAAGCTCTTCTCTGGCTCCAAGGGCTCCAGCAAGGCAGGTGGCAGCAGCAAGGGCACCAGACCAGCTGTCAAGAGGAGGTAGTACTATACACGTCTCCTCAGTCTGCCTAAAGAAGCTTGAGTTGCGCCATGGAAGCAAGATTTTTAAGTGTCATTTTTTTTCCTCTGGGTCTATTGTACAGTTTTCTTTATTAATAGATGTTTTGGACACATCTTGATTTCTAATATGCTGTTGGAAACTGAGAAAAAAAAGTTTTTTTTTTTTTTCATACTGCACTGATAGAAATTTCTTAAACCCTAAAAAAGCTGTTATCCTTCATTTGCTCTATACTTTTTACATGTGGCTCTACTACTCATCATACTTTCTGTGCTAACCCTCCAGTGTGCATTTTCCACTGCTGCTAATTCCACTACCTGAAAGAGAACATATATACAGAGATTTTCTTGTTTTTTTCCGATTTCAGTGATACGACTGTGAATGAAGATTAATTGAATTTTAAGACTGATAAATTCTTATTTAAAAGCCTAGATAAATAAATTGCAATGCTATATAACAACTGTGTTTTTATTTTAGACCACCATATTTGTTTGAACACATCATCTTCTAATTTTTTGGAATTATTGTGTAGAGTACTGCCGAAATTCAGATAATGTACATAACTTGCCTAAGATGTATACATTAAAATGGTAATCACTGGCAGTTCAAAGGATCAAAGAGCTGTGTGGTTGCTTTCAAGTGCTCTAGAGTGTAAATGGCTTTACTTTTAATAAAGCGGACAATAAAGTCCATATTAAAGTCATAATAAAATGTGTGTTTGGGATACATGTCCTCAGTTTGTGGTAGGTCACTCATAGTTGCTGATAGTGTGGACATAATCATGAATGTTACTCAAAAATAGCGTCATCTTCCACAGCTTTACAGCTTCATCTTCAAAAGATAGTGATTGGACATCATGTTTTTATTTGTGTGAAACAAACACCCTTTTCAAAAAAAAATTTGTTTTATGTGAATAAGGGATTGATTCCTAAATCTGAGTGGTTACAAGATGATTTAAGTGATATGGAGGGCAGAAAATGTCTCTAAAATCCTTTAAATCAAATAATCTGAGAAATCACTGAATTGAAGTCCTTGTTCAGGCGGACATTGGCCCTGTCAATCTGAACACAGCCTAAAACAAAAACTGTTTGCAGGAGCCAGACATAAGATCTGCACACTATAGCTCATTTCATTTTCATTTAACAGATCTTCATCTGGCACACTACTGTGGGAAGGTTGGGCTGGCAATTAAAGTTAATTTTCTTATGGTGAATCAAGAACAAAACCGACAATGTGTCTGTGTCTGTGTCTCAATATTCACCAGCCTATCTGTGGCTCTCTGCCCCAAGCCCATTCAATACATGATGACGAGGTACATCTTAAAAGAAAAACGCATAATGAATATATACTTTAAAGTTAAATTTTTTAGGAAATGCTATTTAATCAGGAGAAGATTGTGTATTTATTTTCAGCTGCAGTTTTGGTGTGCTGATAAGTATTTACAGCATCGGGAAGGTGTATGTGGGATGTGGCCATGTTTATGTTCATAGTGGAACAGTTGAGTTCTTTTGACAATAATGGAGGTTTATGACACAAGAATACACTATATCAAGCTTTGGCTACAGAGACGATACGTGGTAGCAGGATCAGTTCATTGTTGGTTTTGGTCTTTTCAGATGAATGTCACCAGATTCTTTCATAATACAGTTACATGTATTTTGTTTGCTGTAATGCAGAATGTCTGCACTAACATGGAGTCTCTGGACCAGTGAGACCCCTGATGACCTCTAGGATGTTCTACACTAGCAACAGTCATGCTATTTATGTTAACCAGTTAACCATGGCACGTTAGTTTTATTACTCAACTGTTGGAGCGGGTAATGATTTGCATCATTTCTCAAAAAAAGAATTTACAAACGAAATCAGATCAGATTCAACGCATTTGATGTTGAAAATGTTCATGCTGATAAAAAGTATAATCCTGTACTGTACTCATATCAGCACACACAGACTCACTTTCAATGAACTGCACAGACGGACAAAGAGCACAGATTCATTCACAAAGCCTCTGAGCAGAACAAAAGGCACAGAGTTTAGGGAGGTAACACACAACATTACATCATTAAAAGACATAGAAGTGCAATAATTTACAACAGCATCACTCATCCACCAGAGACAAGTTGCTTCAATAATCGTGTCCAAGTTTTTTTTGTTTTGTTGTTTTTTTTTTACAGTAATATGAATATTGACAGGAATAGCGGTGTGATCCATAAACAATCTCATATACAGTGTTTTGTTACAACTGTGAAACTAATGCAGCTGTAAATGTACAGATTAGCCCTTGAACACAAGAGCTAAGATAGAAAACAATAGAAAACATTCTCTAAACACTGATATACACTAAGCAACATTTACTATTTGTGAGGTGTAAAATCGGTGAAATATGTTCTGTATATCACTTTTCAACGTTTAAGCCTACAATATTTCTTTTATATACAGTGCAAGTGGGCAGTAGAACAAAGGAAGATTATATGAGGTTTTAAGGATAGGTTCAGTTGTTTACTCACATGCTACAGTATTCACTTTTAAAATATGTTGTTACTAATCCCTGCAATCATTCCTCCTGTCCACATCGGCCCTGAAGTGATTCCTTCATAGCGTGACTTCAATGTAAGGAATTGGGGACAAAATCCACAGTCGTCCTTACTATCAAAAAGCAAAAACTAATACAAGGCTTGAGGAATTTGTCTAAGTACACATCAAGCTGGTATCTTACAAATTTGCTGTGTTTTATTATGAAATTGGGTTAGTATCACGCCACTGCTCAATTAGAAGATATCCTGAAGTTTACAATACAGGTCGAAAGAGATAATTAAACTCAAGATTTAACATAGAGCTTATTAACTTATTGGCAATGAAGCTAGCAGCTTATACTTTCTAACAAAACCATACTGGTCCAATTGAGTTTTGAAGACAGATAAAGACATATATCAGTATAATTAGTATAGTATATATATTGAGAAAGAACTGCAGATGGAAAATGAATGTATAGAGAATATTATTTGATGTAGGAAGAAAGATGAGAACATTTTACCTTGTCACCCCGACCCATAATGTTATTCTATATGCTACCCTACTTTATACTGATTTACCATTGCACTCCTGTAACATTGTTGGACTCATGATGGACAGTTTCAAAATTAACGCAGCAGAACCAGGGATACTGTCTCTTTTTTTCCACACATTCTTCTTCCTTGTCAAAACCTGGTGCCTACGTCACCCACAATGCAACTCTACCGCTACCGATTCGGGTGTGTTATGCTAGTAATGGCTAATGTAGGCTGGAGCCACAAGCCTCAAGTCTGGTAAACTCACTTCCTTTTTTCATTTTTAAACTTGTAGTCTCTAGGCCCAACAAACGCTGACTTAAGTGACATCACTTGAGGCAAGTTATCAGACTTTGTGCAGCTCCCTCTGGAGCCACAAAAGCCTCTCTGTAACTTTTCCTCACACATCCCAGGACCTGTAAATATACTTTGACGTGTAAAAAAGGTTGAGTTAAATAGATGTCAAATAATTTGAACCCATTCTTTAACCTTTAACCTTTGTAAGAATGTGTAGCCACCTTCATGAGGTTTGTTTAATAATCTGGAACAGCAGTTTAAGTGCTGCATCAGGCTCAGCTCATTTTCCACCAACATTTTTTGTACTTTAACAAAAAAATCACATGCAGCACTTCATGCTGAAGATGACCACTGACTACAGTATATATCAAGAAAATCCACATGTGGGCAAAAGCAGTAGGTTGCCTCCAATACTGCAATGCCACATCAAGTCATTTTATTGTTGACATTTTGGTTTTGTCCACACCAGTACAGCTTGTCCTCGCCTCTCCTCCTCCTCCTCCACTGGCAGAGCAGGAGCATGCGGAAGGTCTTCTGAAAGGTCTTGTTGCAGAGGGCGTAACACATGGGGTTGATGGTGCTGTTGACGTAGCACAGCCAGTAGCCCAGGTGCCACAGGGACGTAGGGATACACTCGGCACAGAAAGTGGAGATGAGCACCATGATGTTGTAGGGCGTCCATGTGAGGATGAAGGCCAGGAGGATGGCACTGAGAGTCTGAGCCGCCTTCTTTTCCTTCACCAGCACATTCCTCTTCCTCTTGGTGATCTGGTTCTTCAGGACGGGGTCCATGGGTTTGGAGGTGGTGGAGGAGGAAGGGGAGGCGTTTTTGGTGGGCTGCTCTGCTTCAGGCAGGCAGGGTGGTGCAATCGTAGGATTGCCGTTTTTACCCTTTGAGCCAGGTTTGAACTTATAAGAGATGTGCTTTTTACTGTTCTTCTTTTGAGGACTGGAAAAATACTCAGTCATCTGCCCGTTCTTATTACTTTGTCCACTGCTTTGCTCTTTGAAAGATCCTTGTGGGGTATCTATTGAAACATGATGCTCCTCCTCATCAGATGAGGTGTAGCTGTTAAAGGAGGTGATCTGATCTGCTTTCACCCATGCATCATCTGATCTAGTGGTAGTTTTAGTGGCATTACTTTGGTTCGATGAAGACCAGGAGGCCTGACTCCGGTCTCTCCTCTCTCTGGTGAAATGAAAGCAAGAATGAATGATAGTTTTCTGTGGTTTAGTCCCCTCTAGAACATTTTCTGTTGCGAGCCCTTGCAGCTCCGCCAGATCTTTGGTCCGTTTCTGCGTCTCCTTGTAGATCCTACAGTAAAGGATAGTCATGACAGAGACGGGGATGTAGAAAGCAGCAATCGCTGTCCCAAATGTGATCACAGGCTCTGTTAAAAACTGGATCTGGCACTGGTCAGGAGACACTCTCTCTCCTACAAAGTACTGCCAGCACAGAATGGGTGGTGCCCAGAGGACAAAAGACACCAACCATGCAAGGCCTATCATGATGGCGGCTCTCTTTGGAGTCCTTTTAGCCCTGTAAGTCAGTGGCCTCGTGATGGAGAAGTACCTGTCAAAGCTGATGACGAGTAAGTTCATAACTGAAGCATTGCTGGCTACATAATCCACTGCCAGCCAGAGATCACAGGCGAGGTTTCCCAAGGACCAGTAACCCATCAGGATGTATGTGGTGTACAAGTTCATGGACAACACTCCTATGATGAGGTCAGCGAAAGCCAAACTCAGTAGGTAGTAGTTGTTTACAGTCTTCAGCTGGCTGTTGACTTTGAAGGACAGCAACACCAGCACGTTGCCAACAATAGTTATCAAGCTGACAATGGCCGACACTGTACCGATGGCCAGGGCCTCCCAAAGGCTGTGGGGAGCAACCTGGACATGTGATGCGTTGACAAAAGTGCTGTTTGGAGGATCTTCATCCATGGTGCTGTGTTATCTGTGTTACCGTTGACAGGTCAGAGAAAGGTGCCCCTTTGTGGCTCCATTAAGAGTTTTCCTGAAATAAAAAGAAAAACATTAATGAGACACAATTGTACAAAATAATTATTTGTCAATGTTTTTTCTTAAAACACGATAATCCCCTGTAGATACTGTATATCCTGTTATTTCCAAAACATGCTGTCATATACAGTACTGTAGTAGTAGTAGTATTAAGTTTATTTAAATACATGTCTAATACTTTACAGTTTTGCTATTTTGCAACAGATTAACCCACATTATTTGGTTGAGCTTATTTGCATTGTCAGCTTGCAAAATAGTCTGTTACTACTGAAATGCAAACAAATCTACTGAATCATTTGTGATTTTTACATATTATTTGCATATTTTTTATTCATAATAAAAAGTCTAATTCATGAGAGCTGAAAACAATAATAACATTGCATTTGTACCCTGCAGCTATTTTTTTATTCAAAATGTTTAATTTAATTTTTAAACATATTTATTATCCTAATTGTATAGACCCTATATATATTTCGTTATGGTGTAATTTATTTATATGTAGCCTGTTATATTGCCGGCATTTTTATATTGTTTATATATTATATATTGTTTAAACTTTATTTTCCAATAAAATAATTTAACACTTTTGACATTTAATTATGACATGTAAATTGTTTTTCTGTCTGTCTGTACTTCCGTCCACGATGTAAATCTTTTTGGTCGAAGTCAGAGTCGGAACCATGAAACGCCATTTTGTCATAGGACACCATTCAATGTAACACTCATTCCTCTCAACGCTGAGGTGTCACACGCTAAACTCTCCGGTCACAGTTGACAGCAATGGAGGTTAGATCGAGCAGAGGCAGAGGAGGCAGCTGGAGAAGAGGTGGCCGGGGTGGAAACGACAGCGACAGTTTTGGCGGTGAACACCGGGGCAGAGGGAGAGGAGGCCACCACCGCGGCCGGGGTAAAAGAGACCACTACCGCGGGCGAGGACGCGGGGGAGGCGCCCCTGCTCCGTTCCATCACCGGGTGAGAGAGCATGGAAGTAGCGTTCCCTAGGCTACCCTGTTATCCCGCTCCACCAAACCCCATTGAAAAAAATACTAATTTTGTTGTTGGGTCACTGAGAAAACACACACAGTTCTTAGACGACGAAGTCAAACTTAATAGGACCTCCTCTTCAACTCGGCCTAATTAGCACTCCTTACAATGTAATTGGCGGCAACGAAATACTCAGTGGAGGCTGGTACTGAGCGTTGTGGAAACTTTTACATAGTGGTGTTTTGTTTAAATAATGATACGCGTCGTCCATAACCCTGTGTATACTGTCAACGAGATAACTTCAGTGCTAAGTGAAAGGCAAAGTCATATGCTATGACGCCATTACGTTCAATAACTTTGCCAATATGTGACGTTTTCTTCCACACAACCAAAGCAGGGCCTCTGTAGCAAGTGGGATTTATACTCAATATAAACAGACACAGTACCATATACACCGGTAGACTGCTGTGCGTCAGACATGTGGATTTGTGTCTGCGTGATCACATCCACACTTCTCTACTGTACATGCATAATGCATATAATGAGATCCTGCGAGAGAAGCGTTTTAGGTGCATCATCGCAGTGATCAAGCACTTGAAATGTCTTCCACAGCACTAATAACATTATCTTTGTATGATCTGGGCCTTGGGATGAAGATAGAGTTCACTAGGATGTTCTGTCATTTGATGCTCCTGCCATGGTAACTACAGAATTAGAAGGGTAACAATAGGGGCTCTTGTGATTGCAATCATACAAATCTCCTTTGATACATAGGGGCTCCTTGATTGCAATCATGAAAATCTCCTTTGGTGCATCCATAGCTACCATGGGGTCTTTGATGATTATATTGTGTGTTTGTGAGTTTTGATAAGGGACCAGAAAAAAATTGAGCAAAACCACACTTTGTCTTCTTATGTTGCACATTTCCATGACAACATTATTAAAGGTTTGTGCAGCTTTGTGACAAAGCAGGAAGAAATCTATGACTCAGACAAATGTAATGAGTTCAGTTTTGACACAGGTTTCTCTGTTCTTTGTCATACAGTGTGATGTGCCATTTACCTTGACTCTTTTGTTAGACTTAGCTACCAATAATGAATGGGATATACTATTCATAGGTATGTTTTCATTAGTGTATAATCACCTGAAAATAAGAATCATTGTTCAGTTCAGCTCTGCAGTGTTCATCTCTTAATTCGATTGCAGGCAAAGGCTTCTTGTCTGTCCTATCCCTGTGTCCCACCCCAACTTCTTGTTTTTGAATAGGAAATAGAAAATAGTTGAATAAACCTGATTCTGATTCTGATTAATGGATGCATTTTCAAAAAACAGCTTCTTTTTATATAGTTTAGTATATAATATTCAGTTACATTACGTAGTGTTAGACTTACTGAAGCTCCATATAGGTCGAATTAACTAGGTGGAGTCCTCAGGCCTCAGTATGTAACAAAAGGAAAAACTTGTCAGACTGCCTAACGGTGTGCACTATTATTCCCATTTTAAGTGATCTTAGTCTCTGCTTTCTCTTATGATGGCAGGCTATCCTAAATCACACAATCCTAATGGTGTATCCCACCATGTTCTCCTGTAGGATCAAGATGAAGGGGACAACCTTCAGGAGGAAGATGACAGGATGGAGGTTTTCTCCAGGAGGAAACTGGAGTCAAACTGGGACCGTTATAAGGACTCAGAGAAGCAGGAGCCTGAAGATGACACGCCCACTCAGAGAGGAGCAGACTACCACGTCCTGCTGGAGTCAGCAGGTAAGGTCCGGCCGCAAAAAGCTGGAGGAGGTTTCATTTGTTTTGCTAACCACACCTGTAATGCTCAGTCAGCCCTCAGCAGGAGAGACCCGTCAGGCATCTGGAAATATTCCTATACTTTTTTTGGGCTTAGATTTATATTGATAAGGAATTTTAGTGAGAATTGTGTAAGTCAAGTAACAATGTGACAACATCCTGGTAGTACATTGACAAATAAATGAGTAGGGGATTGGATTTTTGGACTTCTTCAGTCATTTTCTGGGTTAGTGGCACAGTTAGCACAACAAAGAAAACAAAGCCAATTTACTCCAAAAGCTTGCTTCAGTTTACACAAATAAGTTTGCTCAGTTTTACTATTAATGATCAAACCATCACTTAATTAAAGGACTTTAAATTTGTGCATTAGCCTTTCTGAGACAATGACATGGAAACTCACTTTGTGTCAAATACTCCACTTAGTCTAATTGTACTTTTCTGAAGCTGTCCTAATTAGTTTGGAAATATCTGTTATCTTGATATTTAATTGCTGTGTATGGACACTGCTGTCAGATGAAAGCATAGAAGATCCTTGTTTGTCTTTGTTCACTAATTTCAGCCTCAGTGGTCAGTGTTTGGTCCCCTGGGCTTTAAACAGTCTCATCCCTGTTTCTGTTCATATTTCTTTCCCCAAAGGAACATGTGTAAGAAAGCTCAGTGTTATCTTATTAGATCTTGAGATTTCTTCACAGTTAGGAGTAATTCTGAGCAACAACCCTGATGTGGGATATTGTGATATTTAACTGAAGTTGGGTTAAATAGAGCATAGGGTCAACACCCTAAATCTGTTAAATGTTTTGCCAAAATCTTATTTTTAAAGACGAAAGACATGGAAGCAGGCTAGGTTTCCTTTTTTTTTAGCCAAAGTAAGTGATGTGTGGCAAATTTTGGCAAATTGGCAATAAAAGTATGCCGAATTAGCTATTAGAACTTCTTATCTCAAATGTGATGATTCTCAGGCAAGTTCTGCAGTTTTAAGGAGTGTCTTTTTTTTCTATGATTTCTGGATTTCTGGCCATTTATTCACAATCGACATCAGAGATAATGATATCATTAGAAAGAATAAGTCACCCGGAATCTAAAAGTATGTGTATCATGTCTTGTGTGTTCTGAGTTATGACTCCAAAAAGGAGTACTGGGCGTTTTTAAAGTACCTTAACTGCCTCCATGAGCTGTGTGTCACAGTCACTACTGTAGCTCCAACTGCTGTCAATAAGCCGGCTAAACTACAATAACTAACTTTCCGTTTGTTTCCAGAACAACAGCATGAACCTGTCCCTTTTACCTCACTCAGTATCTTTGCCTCATGTCTCTCCCTCCAGTTTGTTGATTTGTAATCAGAAGCAGCCATTACAGTACATCACGCTACACTGGGTGTGGAAGAAGCATGTTGTCATCACTAGCTGGCAGTGCAAGTGGTATTATTAGACTGGGTGTAGTTACTCTTTGATGACAGCTGGTGTGGACTTTAAGTTTAAGATATAAGCAGATATATAAGATATAAGCAGGTGTTTGGTGCTGGTCAGTAATAGAAACCATCTAAAAAAGTTAACTGCAGTGAGCAGCTTCTCTTGTCTGATTTTAGCAACATTCACAGTTTCAGGTTTTGTGTAATGTGAAATATGAAACTTTTTTTCCTGGACTGATGGCAGTGAGTGCAGTATTCCTGACCTGAAACGTCCCTCTACTCCTGGACTTTATTTATTTGCATTTATTTTCATGGACTATTTGGATTATTTCTGTCTAATCTATTTCAAAAGCAACACACACCCCTGGTAGTTTGGCTTCAGTCTGTGTGTTACTGTCTAGCTGGATTTTTGCTTTGTTAGTCAGCTCCATCAGATGTGCTGAATAATAGAACTGTGATTGGTCAGTTTAGGCTGCTTACTGTAGGTTTTCTCCTGCATCTCTCTGATGCCTTTAAAGATTGTTTATTGTGAAAAAACACAGAGAAAGTGGAATAAAGGCTCAGTCATCGTCTTTACGTTGAGGCTGTTGAACTTAGTTATTGATTTTATTGATTGATTTAAGTAATTTATCCAGCATAAAGGGCAAACATTTGATCGTCCCAGCTTCTCAAATGTGAATATTTGCTGGTTTTCTCTTTTTTTAAATTTCTTAAATTAATCATACTAAACAGGGAAAAAAACAGGCAATTTGAAGATGTCACCATGGGCTCTAGGAAAGTGGTGAAAGTAATGTTTCACTTTTATCTGTCATTTTATACTCTAAACAGTTAATTGAGTATTAAGTGTCTGATGAACTAGAAGAATATAAACATGATAAGTAGTATTAACTTTAACAGAAGGTTCAGTATCTGTTTTTCAGTAGTTAATGAACAAAAAACTGTATTTGTGATCTGGCTGAATTTCCAGTGCAAACCTTCACCTATATACTCTATATGATTTATTTTCATTATTGATTAATGTGCACATTGTTGTCGTTATAAAAAGTTAATCGTTGTAAATGTTATCACAGTCCAAGGTGACGTCATCAAATGTCAAAAATCCCCAAATGTTAACTTTAAAATGTTATACAAATAAGCAGGAAATCTTTATATTTGAGAGGCTGAAAAAAAGCATTTTTATTTGATAAGATAATATTTTATAAGGAATGCCGTGTACGGCCTGCTAATGTAGTGTGTGTGACTGAGTGGATTTCATAACATATTGCTGCAGACAGTATTAGCACGAGTTGTGGTTTAAAAAATGTTTGGTTTCATATTATCTCATGTTGGATCATTTGGATTTTATAAATCAACAGGATGTGATATGGGTATTAAGATGCCATTATTCAAAGTAGGGGTACACCAACACATTGGCCTTGTTTTAATTAACCAAAGTCAACCAGTGATTTTGTTTTTTACTTATGTGATTTAGTTTCCTTTTTTACTACAATGGCATATAAATGAACTGGAAAGTATGTAAATGAATTCCTTTAAATGCCTGTTGTGGGTTGAAGATGAGAGTATCTTTATATCAGCAACAGGTCAAATAAGAAATGTGAAAGTGGTCGCTCGTAATGACAAGCGTACAGAATTATGAGCCGACTCTGCAGTCCCACTCGTATCTGTGGAGCATTTTAGTGTTTTTCAGCTCTTTGTGTTGGTTGGCCCACAGCTTCTCTGTTTTGTTTCAGCCTCACAGTTTTCATCAGCGTTATTTTCAGCCACAACAGGCAGCCGTGAAAAAACAACCCACTGTGTGCTACTCATCCAACACCAAACAACAGCCAAAGTTAGCAACTATCTGGTGGACAAAGTGGATCATTTAGCACCTTCACAGCCAGATATTTACTTCAGGAGCTGGAAAGTTGAAGTGAATACTGGACATTACATTCATCAGGTTGTCATAAACACAACTCCGGTTGAATGCTAATGTTGCTCTGTGTCGGCTGGACGTGTAAATAGGTAACTGTTTACCATACCAGCTTTATAGGGTTATAATATATCTCTGTTGCGTTTACAGCTTGTTACACTTCCTCCATGGCAATGCATTGTTTTTCAGAGGCTTCGGGTTATGGAAACATAATAAAATTCTGTAAGCTACTATGACAATAATTTTCTGGCATTAAAATGAAGACAAAAAATAAACTTTTATAATCAGAAGCAGTTACATGTGAGGCAGAAACCTCCTTTCTACTACAACAGAACCCAATCAAACAGGAGATAAAGTTCATAGTGAAGCATTAGAGAAAAAGCTCAGGTTTATGAGACAAACGTATGATGATCCAAACGCTGCAACCTTGGAGATTATGCAAGCAACAAGCTGAAAATTCATCAAATAAGAGTCCCTGAAACGAACAAAATAACACGATGGCATTTAAAAAGTGTTTGAGACATATTACAAGTCCTTGTACACTCAGCTGGACAAGGTGGACATACAATAAAGCAATTTTTAAACCAATTAGATCTTCCCTCTTGTGGAAAATTGCACAATGATGAACTCACAAAAGAAAATCTATTGAGGAAATTGAGCAAGCAATCTCCAGTCTGAAAGCAGGCATATCACTGGGTGCCAATGGGTTCCCATCCGAGTGCTCAATGAGAGAGCGAGTAACACCCTTAATCTGCGAGTGCTTCAAACACATTCTAAATCCAATCAGTGGGGCCAAACGTTTCGAAATCACAATTACAAATGATATGCATCCATATTGGGTAAGAGGATGGAGGAGCTGACATAAGGCACTAACGAATAAATAATAAAATGTATTGTTAGTGATATAATCAGATCAGATTTTACGCTATTGCCCACCCCTAGCAACAAGGCAAATACAAGACGCTAGCTTCTTAAAGAACCTCACACCCTGAAACAGTGGATAGATATTAAACAGCGTGTGCTGTATGGAACGTAGGACATTCAGTTTGAGGTTACAGAAAGAAAAGGGAGAAGAAACTATAGTAAATGTGTAACTGTGAAAAAATAAAAGCAGATATGAATGAAAGTGTACCATTTCCTGTGTAAATCATCAAATGTAACTGGGTGACCTCATGTTTGTTATGATATACAACAAAAAATAAAGTATATAGAAAAAAAAGAGTTGGCCACATTTGGACCAAAACTCTGAATTGCTGAATTCAAAATGCTATTAAATGCAGACTGTATATTATTCAGCATAAAGCAAAAGTTTATCCAGGAGTTGATGCTGACAATCTGTGAAGGACCCTGACTTGCTTGTGTTTTTAGGAGAAAGTTAGGAGGCCATTTTTATCTCAGGATGAGTGTTTAAGCAGCTAACTGTTTTTATAGCCTTGTTGTTTTTTTTTCTCTCACGCCATTAGAAAGTTAGAGAGTGTTACAGCGGTGTGTCTCTCTCCCCTTCTCTTGTAGCGTAAATGCCAAAGGTTCTCCTGTGAGTTGTTTGACTCTCTCTGTGTTTTGCCCACATTGTCAGATTAGTCATGCCGTACAGCAAGAGGCTGCCGCTCTCTAGAGGATACTTAATTGTACGTGGGAGGCAGCGCT